GTCCCACGGCAGCGTCACCTTTGCGTGTGGCTTTTATTGTGCCTCAGTGGCTTCACACGTGGGGGGGCCGAACCCCCCGGGGTCAGTTCCGGTCAGTTCCGGGGCCGAAATCACCCGGGGCCGGTTTTGGGGTCAGTCCCGGGGTCAGTTCCGGGGCCAAACCCCACCGGGGTCAGTCCCGGGGCCGAAATCACCCGGTACTGGTTCCGGGGCCAATCACCCCCGGTTCTGGGGTCGGTTCCGGGACCGATCACCCCCGGGGCCGGTTCTGAGATCGATCACCCCCGGGGCCGGTTCTGAGATCGATCACCCCCGGGGCCGGTTCTGCCCAGGCCGGATCCCGGGGCCGATCCCAGCACCGATCCCGGGATTGTTTTCCCCCGGGGCCGTTCCCAAGAGCTGATCCCTCCCGAGAGTGACCCCGGTGCCGATCCCGGTGCCAGTTTCCCCTGGGGCCGATCCCGGTGCTGATCCCGGTGCCGATCCTGGGACTGATCCCGGTGCCGATCCCGGTGCTGATCCCGCCCGATCCCGGTGCCGATCCCGGTTCCGACCCCGCCCGGTGCCGGTCCCGGAACTGGTCCCGGTGCCGATCCCGGTGCCGATCCCCCCCGGTGCCGATCCTGGTGCCGAGCCCGCCCAGTGCCGATCCCGGTGCCGACCCCTCCCGGTGCCGATCCCGCCCGGTGCCGATCCCGGTGCCGGTCCCGGGGCTGATCCCGGTGCTGATTCCCCCCGGTGCCGACCCCGGGACCGATCCCGGGACCAATCCCGGTTCCGATCCCCCCGGTGCCGATCCCGGGGCCGGCCCCGGTGCCGATCCCGGTTCCGATCCCCCCGGTGCCGATCCCGGTGCCGATCCCGCCTGGTGCCGATCCCGGGACTGATCCCGGTTCCAATCCCCCCGGTGCCGATCCCGGTGCCGATCCCGGTGCCATTCTCCCCCCCGGTGCCGATCCCGCCCGGGACCGATCCCGGTGCCATTCTCCCCCCCGGTGCCGATCCCGGGGCTGATCCCGGGACTGATCCCGGTGCCGATCCCGGTGCCGATCCCGCCCGGTCCCGATCCCGGTGCCGATCCCGGGACTGATCCCGGTGCTGACCCCGCCCGGTGCCGATCCCAGAGCTGATTCCCCCCGGTGCCGATCCCGGTTCCGATCCCCCCGGTGCCGATCCCGCCCGGGACCGATCCCGGTGCCATTCTCCCCCCGGTTCCGATCCCGGTGCCAATCCCAGTGCCGATCCCGGGACTGATCCCGGTTCCGATCCCCCCCGGTGCCGATCCCGCCCGGTGCCGATCCCGGGACTGATCCCGGTGCCGATCCCGGAACCAATCCCGGTACCATTCTCCCCCCCGGTGCCGATCCCGGGGCCGGCCCCGGCGCCAGCTCGGCGGGGCTCGGTGTCGGGGTGCGCTGCGGTGTCGGGGTGCAAGCGGCCGCGGGGCCGGCGGCTACTGCGAGTTGTAGAGGCCGTCGTAGCCATCGTGGCCCAGCAGCTCGGGGCCCCCACAGTACTTGGGGTCGTAGACCTGGCGCGGGAGCCCGTAGACGGTCATGCCCTGCTGCGACGCGCCCTTGTTGCTGCCCATCTGCAGCCCGATGGTCATGGTGTCGCAGTGCTCCATGCCCAGCGCCGGCTCGAAGATCTGACGCTTCGTTCCCGGTGCCGTCATCCCCGCCTGGGGTAGAGAAACCGGCTGGGGGAGCGGCCA